CGCGCGCACTCACACACACACACACACACACACACACACACGCACGCACGCACGCACGCACGCACGCACGCGCGCGCGCACGCACGCGCGCGCGCACACACACACACACACACACACACACACACACACACACATACACACACACACACACCAGGCACCCAGCTGCCATACAATCAGTAGCACAATCATCATGATCCCTGGCGCACACCCCTGATTTACTGCCCTGGTTTACTGCACAAACATGTCGATTCGAGCTGAAGCTGCAGTTCCATGATTGAATTTTGCATCTATCAGCCCCATTGGGGCAACAGGTACTGTAACATGATGGCGGGTTGGCTTTGGGGATCCAACCAGCGATGCCAGCAACGCAACACTTCTCAGAGTGCGGGTGCAGCCTTCGCTGGCGGTTGAGTAGAACCTCCGCTTGGGATACTCTCCCTCTTCTTGTGTTTGTTGGTCGTCTTTCGCAAACCATTCATTCATCTGCCTGACTGTGCCTGTACAGTATCCGGGGTTCTGCCAGCAGGAGGACAACCGCTGGCTTGTTAATAGCCGCCAGGGCGTGCAGGCGCCAACGCCCACCCCGCACCCTGGCAACAAGGGTGAATCGACAGGGTCATGGATTGTGGCCGTGTCGCGCACACCCTGCCCTAGTTGGCTGTCCAGGCCAGAAGAGGAGAGCCGTAGTGCCCACATGCAGAAGCTCGCATTGTGGTGCAATGGGTGAACGTGAATGTCCCTAGTGTAAAACATTGTATAAACATGAAAATGAACACTCATCAACAAGTATGTCCCACCTGGACGTTGCTTGTGATTGTGCACGGTACCGTATCAGAGATGACTAAAGTCAACTGCGCCACAGGTGGTCATACTTCCGCACAAACGCCCATAAAGCGGCCACGCAATATGTTACTATCTACTTGTCGACAATCAGGCTCATTTACAAAGCATCCGATCACCCACCCGTGGCAACACGATCGCGTTCATCACGTTCTCACACGCATCGGTCCGGCCTGTGCGGGCCACTCTCCGGATATAGCATGTCCGTAGGGACGTCGAGCGATGAGTTGGAGGGCGACGACGAGCTGCTGAGGTGAGGCTCAGGGCACGGCTGTCTGCTTGCCGCATTGCTGCTTTGCGTTGTTGTGCGCTGCGCAAGCCAGTGTGCGCCAGCTGCTGCGTGCAGGAGAGAGGCAGCCGCGTATTGCAAGGCGCCATGTCTTACACACTCAGTCCGCAGAAGCCCCAACTATATGTCATCCCGCCGCGCCCCAACACCCGCGCCGCAGCAGCAGCTGCTGCACCACCAGTAACGCAACCAACAACGCCGCCGACGCCACTGATGGAGCCGCTGCCCACCAGCCTGTGGCCATCCACACAAGCTGCGCGGTGCGCACCCTTGGCCGGGCAGCCGGCGGCGCCGCCATGATCGCCGTGGCCGGCTGCGCCGCGGCTGTCGTTTGCGCCAAGCTTCTCCGTCGGCGGCGCGCCGCCTGCGCCGCTCCGGCAGCTGCGCCGCCACCTCCCGCCTGTGCATCTTCCACTGCCTGCGACGACAGTCTTCTGCTGTGCCAGAGGTGAGGGGCGCGCCAGGGTTCGGGGCAAGCGCGCCGGTACGTTGCGTCAGCGCGCACAGGACATTGGCGCACACTATGATCAGGCGCCAGCGTCACGCCTCCAGCCAAGCAGCCTGTTGCAGGCAATCGTGAGGGCAACGATCAGAGCTGGCGGATCGGCGGCATGCCATCCATCCACTTTCTCATGCCAGCTGCCCCGCATTAACCCATCCGCCCCCCTGGCTCCTTGCTTCCTCCAGGCTCACCGCCCGCGGCACCACCAGCCGCTCTCGGGCGTCCTCAGGCTGCAGCAGCAGCGACACCCTCACCACGGACACCAGCCCTGACATCACCGCCACCTCCATCGAGACCTCCAGCGATGACATCAGCATCACCGCCCTGCTCGACCTCTCCACCTCCATCGCCTCCGAGGCCGCCGCCGGGCTCAAGACGCCAGACAGCTGCAGCACTGACACGGGCCGCAGCACGGCCGCCGACGCCGCCAGCGGCCGCGAGGCCCCCGCTGCGCCCTGCAACATTGACACTGCGCACCTGCCGCGCGGCGAGTGGGCGCCGCGCGGCAGCGAGCTGTATGCTGAGCTCGAGTCGCAACTGTGGTGCGACGCGGATGAGGTGTTCGCCGCCGGCACGCCCCTGGGCGCCGGCGGCCAGGGCGAGGTGCGGCGCGTGGCGCTGCTGGGCCGCTCCTACGCGCTCAAGTGCGACACCAAGGGTGACTCAGAGGAGGGCGCGTTTGAACGCCAGCTCAGCGGCGCGGCGGCGCGCGCGCACGTGGTGAGCCCCATCGTGTCTGCGTGCGGCGACGACTGCGTGACGACCTACCACCTGTTTGAGCTGGCAGCGGGGGACCTGGACCACGTGATGACTGGCCACAGGTACTGCACCGGCTGGGCGCGCCTGTCGCCCGACCAGCTCGCCCCTGTGCTGCGCCAGCTGGCCGAGGCCCTCGGCGCGATGCACTCTGTCGGCCTGGCCCACAACGACGTCAAGCCGGCCAACTTCCTGCTGGGCTACGACGGCCGCCTCAAGATTGGAGACCTGGGGCTCACTAACAAAGCCTCCACGCCACCCTGCGGCCTGTCCAAACTGTACGCGGCGCCCGAGGTGGTGGTGCTCATGAACGCGGGG